GAGGTTATTTGTAGCTCGGGATGTAGATAAGGTATGCAGGTGTCCTCCGAGCTGGTTGATTTGGCTACGTTGTTTCACATCAATAAAACGACCGACGCATGGACAAACATCAGAAACGGTTAAAAGGACAATCATTCTAGTAGCCGGCTGGTAGCTTACCGAAACAATGCCTATCAGTTGCTGGTAGCTCAACTGGCATGCAACTCTTGTATTTGTTTTCCTTTTCCTTTATGTATTGCGGCACAGTAGCTGAGGTGTTTCCCACCTCTAGCTGACGTGTATAATGAATGAATGAATCTACCCTACATCATCGGCTTGTCTGAGATAGCGGCGAGACTCCTACTACCTTTCGGAATCAGAGTTGCTCACAAGCCGACAGAAACTATACGAGACAAGCTTTTCAACGCTAAGGACCGGCTTGGCAAGTAAGAGACAAAATTCACTGCAAATATTGTAACAAATACTATGTGGGCCAGACAGGAAGGAAGCTCCTCACTAGGCTACATGAGCGTAGCCTAGCCATCCGCCGACATGACCGGAACTCCCTGGTGTCGATACATATGGACGCCAAGAATCATCAGTTTTATTTGGAGAATGTCAGGATTATAGGCAGGGCAAAAATTCGAAAAGCACGTGAGTTCATCGAGACTTGGTACTCGGGGAAGAACTCAATCCACAGACACTTAGATCTAGATACTGCTTATGAAGCGCTGTAGGTCCAATAAATACTCCGCCCGGATCAACAGAACAAAGAAACCTTATTGAAGTAAGCAAGTGCGCGAAGAATATTCTTTTCGATAATTCTCATCAGGTAAGTACAATTATGAAGCAAAACGTTTGGAGAGAATAAAGCCCGTAGAGGCCTGCGTCACTACGAAAAGGCACGGTAAAATCCATCAACAGTTCTGTATTACAACACTTGGTCGACACTGGACACCAAGTTCAGACAAACCAGTCGTTTCGAGTCGTTTATACTATCCCTAAACGATACCCAAAACAGCTGAAGAAACATTTATTGAGCATTTCTGAAGCCATTGCTATCAAAGTTATAAAACCAGAGCTGTACAAACAGCGCACACTGCTACAGGCTCTGAAATTGCCTTGGCCTTGAACTTGACCTTCCTTGATCACCTGCTTCCTAATGCGACAATCCGATTGATCAAATCATTGATTTAATTTTCATATTGCCCAGTTAATGAGTTGATTGCTCTCTGTACAGGCCTCTACGGGCTTTATTCTCTCCAAACGTTTTGCTTCATAATTGTACTCGCCTGATGAGAATTATCGAAAAGAATATTCTTCGCGCACTTGCTTACTTCTGACTCACATGGGGATTATTTGTGAAATCTTATTGAGACGGACTCTAGCCAACAATACGCAAGAGCTGACTACACGGTCAGCTCACGTGGACCAATAGACTCCTTACGTTCGAATCAGCAAGTGATCAATAATCATTTCGTTCTGTAACTGGCGCGCCTAAATCGCCCTGATGATGTCGTCTATCCTGACGATGCGACGTCTGCAGCCAAATCAGCTAGCTTAAAGAACACCCACTTGCTGTCAACGGTAAGCGAGAATCAAGTCCCCTCTTATCCTTCCTTAGTGCATGGATTACATACCCAAACTAAGCAAGCGTTCAGGATACATCTGTCGCTGTAAACCATGCACCAATTTATTACGCACTCGTAACACCCTTTCCAAGTCCATTTTGTCTCGGATAAGATATGCTGGACAAGCCTGGATACAATATTCCAATTGGGGTCGCACAAGTGCCGAGAATAGCTTCACAAGCATATGGGTCATTAGGACTTTGAAAGAGCGGCGGTTAAACCACGTCATACGAACCTCTCTACAAGCAGTCTTCTTCCAATTGTCGCCAGAGTGAAGAGCTGATGAGCATTTAAGCATAAGCAAGCTAAAACATAAACAAAGGAGCTGAAAATCTTAGAATATACTGCTTACCTTTATTTCTGTTACTGAAAACCAGCACACAAGCCGAGAAGCGTGGAGCCACATTAGATCGAATTCCAGTAGAGATCACAGTGCGAATCTATTTGGAGTTGGACCATGAACTTGAACCGTTTGATTTGTGTTAATTAATATTAATTGTCATCCCTAATTTTGTTGTTAGTGGTTTCCCGCAACCTATCTATTGCGCCGTGCTCTCATACAATAGAATCAGAATCGGAATCCCTCGGTCCGGCTGTCCTTGGTGTTCTCATTTCGTGCCGGGTTGAACTGGTTGGGGGCGGCACAGCAGATTTAAGGCAGATTATATGTAAAGTCAGCGGAAACCAAACCACATTTTTGGCGACGGTCAGCTGCACGGTAGCAGCAGGTTAACCGTACATTCAGCGGTACCACAAAAATTTCATCAACCACTTGGGCACTTTAGTTCAACCTGGCGTTTATAGTGCACCGTTCACCAATATAACCGTGCTTGTATTTTATACTACGTTGTTTCTCCTACATTACCTAGGCGCCAAGTAACGAGGGTTGCAGTGTTTGCACGTATGCAACATGGTTGCTGGCATGGGCACTGATTTTGCTCCACCTCAATCGGTTTACCTCGATTTTTTGGATATCCGATTTTCGTCCAAGTGTCTTGTCTAGTCTCAGATCGGGCGAAACTCGGACACTCGTGCCCACAGGGCTCTGTCCAGGGGACTGGTTTACAGAGAGCAGCGTTCTCCGGAACATGCTGGACTCGCTGTCGATATTCCTGTGGAGCATATATTCCTCGACCTTCAGTAGTTTAAAATGTGCGTTACTAAGCTGCTTTTCTCCTCCCAGAGTCACGGTCCGAAAATTAACTAGATTGGAGAACATCCTTTTCGGCACACCAAATCCTTGACGCGTGTGTGGCGCGCCAAGCGTTGTTAGTTTTGCCTTTAACCTCAAGGGCAGTAGTGTCATTATCCAACCACATCTACTGGTCAAGCTTTAACTGATAGATGCCATCAGAAACCTGAGAATCAGGCGTGTATCTAGTGCTTTGAGTACTCGGCTTGTGTTTTAGCTGGTCAGCTGGATGTCCTTTTCCTCCGCACCAGAACCTATTCTGCTATCACGCGACTCAAAGCTGGTGATACCAAGTTCTTGCAGTTATTATGTGTCCTGTTTTGTGTTCCGATTGCTTTCTTGCCCAGGGTGTACGTGGATTGTACTAGCCTGATGGCGCTGAAATGCTAACGGATACTTCGTAGGCAATCGGATAATTCCGTCATAAACACATACTAAAAGCTAGAGCTGGATGGATGGTACCTCTGTCTTATACCTCTTGATGAGTTGGATGCCGTTGTCACAATTGCCGATGGAAAACCGAGTCTGAAGTGAATGGATGGATGGTGTAAAAACAAACAGAACTTAGTTGCTTTAATAACTTCGGAAACGAAATGGGGAGTCCGGGAGAAAATGAAACAACAATTTCCCTTTGAACTAGACTCGGCGACTTGCTACGGGTGTGCTGTACTATCCCTTTGTTAACAGGCGCTTCCCTCAGAGCCTACGGAATCTCTGCGGAATCTCTACCGACGCGCAAAGCAATCGATGAGCGATTTGTTAGGCTTGGACGGTTCCGCATTAAAGAATGCTGATGCTCGCTCCAACAGCCGTAGTCTTGTTTCGAAGACTCATTGGCAGCTAGCACGATCGCATGGTATGCAGTATTTGATCGTTTTGGAATTCCAGGTTCTTCGCTATCCGACACGTACAGTAGGTCGCGACAGACATGGTGATCCGTAATGGAAAACAAAGTGAACGTAAATAGCCAGTCAACTACAAACTACTTAGCACAGAAGTTGACGAACAATTTACCGAGTACCTACTGATCGCCGACACCAGGGAGTGGCCAAACAGGCGAGATCGACCACACGCAGGAGAGTTTCCGTATTGAATATCACACCGGCCAGGAAGACGGTGGTCCTAGGGAGTTTAATACACAACATGAGTCCCGCGTTACACCTAGCGTTGCGCTTAGTCTAGAGAACGGGGTGCACGATTTAGATCTACTTATTGACTAATCGAATCCTGGTATACTTGTTTTCACTGATACCTGGTTTGCCCCCAGATGTCTCGGATGATAAAGTATTTTCACCTGCTTACACGCTGCTTAGAACAGATCGCTCTGTTAGTAGTCAAGGCTGGAGTGCTGTACATTAGATTAGGTGTAGTTTGGATGAGTTGAGGACCTGCGTTTCTCAGTCATTGGATCAATCTGTTAAAGCCCTGTAAGTACTTTTAGGGTGCTTATTGACTGTATGTACAATCAGCCTGCGAATGTCTAGTTCTGGGGGATTTTAATCTCTGACGTCTGCTTAGCTGTCCTTTCATGCAACTTGGCAGCTTCTATCGTTTACGCTCAAAGTAGCGTTGCACCAATTCGCTAACCCAACTAGATACATGGATGTCCAGTTACCGTTTATTTTAGATGACATTTTCGCCAATTTCCTCGACTATGTCAGTTTCCTTACCGTGCAGTCCCATTCCATTTGCTTTCGTTCTTTCCTATGATTTATTCGATTCTCACCGCTCACACGTGTACCTACACCTTAGAGCCAGCTTAACGAACGTTTCAGACAAGTAAAACAGTGCGTTCCCTTCAGCCATTTCGTCAAGGCAGGGCGAAGACAGATGTTGTGCTATGTCAACATTTCGATTGTTCTCTTCAGTCACAAACACAATACGAGCAGAAACACGAAGGATTATGTACATGGAAAAATAACCAAAACGATAAAAGCCGGGGAGGAAATTCTACGCAAGATCTTAATTTCTAATGGATGTCCCGAGAAGTTTATTCAAGTACACAGCGGACCTCTCAGTGTGAATACGCAAGTGCTGACGGCTGAGAAAAGGATGTTTATTTCAAAAGGATCATGTGGCAAATGATATCGGATGCAAGCTCCGGTCCGCCCTAACGCGCACCTACACGACGGCCCAATTGCGACTCAGGCATATCACGCGATTACTTGTTCTTCATAACCGTCAGAGCATCTCGTCGGGTAGTTCGTTCTTTCAAGTTGTTTATCACTTCACCTGCGGTTGCGGTGACATTTACATAGGCAAAACAAACCGTCAGTTAGCTCAGAGGGTAGCTGAACATTTGCCAAAATGGTTGGGACAAGTGATTACGCAACAAAATGGGACGGATCTGAGAGTTAATCGGAGCCCTGCATCGTCTATCACCAAGCACATCATGGCAACCCGTCATCACGTGAGCCCTGTGACAGCGTTCAACGTGTTATTACGTAACAAAACCCGATACTGCTGGCAATTAGTGAGGCGTTGTTAATTAAGGCCTATCAACCTGTGCTGTGTACACGGAAACGAGGCAATCAATTCGGTTACCATGGTCTCGACTGTGACATTTCGATTGGTGTTGCTTGTTTTTTCATGTATATAATCCTTTGTGTGTTTCTGCTCATATCGTGTTTGCAACTGAAGAGAACAATCGAAATGTTGACATATCGCTACATGTGCCTTCTCTCTGCCTTGACGAGATTAACGAACGTTGTCTGTCACACTCCATCTTCTGAATCTAACTTCTGTATATCACCTTTTATCTCCCCATCACAGTGTGTGCACCATTCCCACAGACATGCGCACAATTTTCCAAATCTTGAGCCGCACAAAATGTTTATGGTTTCAAACGAAAGCCAGACCTGAGACGCACATTACGAGCTACCAACCGATGCTGTTGATCGTCATCTAAAGAAGCCATCGGGCATTTTGTGTTATTCATTGCTCGGTGACTTTGTTTACACCTCAGAGCGACTCTGAGCGGGAGACAATCGCTTGACCTTCCCCGCAACTCCCTGTGGCGTGTCGTGGTATGCTACGGTCGAGCTGACCTTAGCTCCTACCATATCGCATGCATACACACTCGGCCGGTGGCCGAGTGGTCTGCACGTTTGCTTTGCAACCATAAGGTCACCGGTTCGACTCCGCGTAGGGGTGGGCGTCCTCGCGGTATACTCAGCCCGCGCGCGACTGGTGGTGGTCGCGCGGCAGCGAAGCGCCGTTACGGTGTATAAGCTGACACATTTCATTTCATTTCATTTTCACACAAAGAAACAGCCACACGCTTGTGATGGAGTTATGTAAGCAGAAGAGCGGTACGAATTTATATGACAAAACAAGCGGCTAGCTTGCCGCAGACGAACGAAGCAGGTAATTGGACGTGCACGCATCTTCGCTTATGCGCTGGTTGGTTCGTATTTGTCAGCGCTGGGGTGAATTTGTTTGACTGATTCGAAGGGAGAAACACATGAATGAAGAAACGTCATTAGTTAATTAAGTGACCTAGTTATTTACATCTGGGCTTCTACAACCTAATCATGCTATCTTTTTCGCTGAGCCTGCTTTGTCGGATAAACCGTTTGTCCCTAAAGGACGGAGTTCTGCAACATGGTATCAGAGAAGACCAAGGCAAGATCGCCGAACGGTGCTCAGTTGCTACATAAAGCGCAACCAGCCTTGCAGACACCCGCCCCGTTGAACATGGAAGAACACAACACGGCCAGTAATTGGAGAATCCGGAAAAGCAAGTGGATTGATTTCTGCATACTGGTGCGTATCGCTTAGCGATGTTTCAACATACGATCGAAGATTAAGCACGCCGCGTACAAAACGGACGAAGACCAAGCTGATCTGGAAAGTCATCCGAGAATTCGGCGATTTCTACGAGCGCCAGACTAACGAGACGTATCAGCGGTATCACTGTTTTACTCGAAACAGGCGCCCGAACGAATCTGTCTGGAACTATTTTACGGAAGTGATGATCCTGGCTCGTTCCTGTAATTTTTGCAATTGTATGACTGACAGTTCCACCCGAGATTGCATCCGGCTGGGAATTAGTGATGAAAACATCACCAAGCGGCTGTCGCGGCAAAGGCATTTATCGCTCAGAATCATCTACACACTACATCCAGCAAATGCGGTTGCCGACTGATGCAGAGCTATGTGCCGGATTCAGCTGGCCTGACAAACTACGAAGCCTGTTACCAAGACACAAGAAACTTGCAACTTCTGCGCCGCGCGACACCCGGAAGATCCTAATCAACGTCCGGTGTGGGGTCGAATTTGCGCCAAATGTAGTAGACGAAATCATTTCCCTCGATGCTGCCAGTCTTTCAAAGTGAATACACTCAATCGTGACACAACATCCTCCGACTCTAAACATTCAATCAGCCATGTGGGACCAAACAATTGCGTCTATAAAAGTTTGTTAGTTGACGAAGGAATGATGCGCCTCCCGTTAGACACGGAATGCCGGAGTAACTGATCTCCGACAAGGGCCGGCAATTTATTAGTGCTGCGTTCCAAACCTTCTCGAACAAGTGGGAATTTTTGCAACGACAAACCAGCCTGTATCACAGCCAGTTTAACCGAAAAGTAGAGGCAGCAGTCAAACAAGCCAGGATGCTGTAATTTAAAGCTAGGGCCACTCATGAGGACCCATATCTGAGCCTGTCGAAAATTTACAATTCGCAGCTCTCAGTCCACTTCAACCTTTATACAACAGAAGGACACGAACCTTAATGCCTGCGTCGGCTGAACTTTTACACTCGGTCTAGCCGTCGCCATCGCAACGAGACTGGATTTTAACGTAGTGTGATGGTTTGCCTATATCAATGATTTATTGAGCTATGCTGGGTGGCACTTTTTAAGTATCTTCAGAGCTACTCATACTAAACACTTCAATGGTTAGGGGTTAGACTAACTTAGTCTCAATCCAATCCTCTTCGGAGGTTATGGAAAGGTCGATGGCCCTCTTCCTTTGAAACCTAGCCATTTGAGACAACAGGTCTACGCATTATAAGCTCACAGCGCGATTGGCGTAGAGCACGAGCACCACGCATTGTTTTTGATGGTGAGAGAGCACTTTCCAGTGTTCAATGGTTGTCTACCGCCCGCCTCAAGTCGGTCAAATTGCTGTAAACCCGCCAACTCCCGCCTGCGACTGGCCGTGGTCGCAGGTGCGTAACGTAATACGGTCGTAAAACAAGTGTGCACCGTTCCAAATCTTCGAAGACTGTGTGGCAGACCTCGAGCATATTCCAGTGGATCACTGCAATCAAACTCCCGTGCTGGGCTTGCTCTTCACTGTCTTTTGGGTCAGACTATTGAGCTAAAGGCTCTGGGTGATGTCCCTCAAGCAAACCTCTAAATCCCTCGCTGCCTTGTGCGTCGGGCTATTGAGCCACTTGCTAGAGGTAGGGCACCTTGATCAAAACCCCTCTCTCGGAATTCGCAGCCGGAGAATATCCTTTGCCCTCTCGATCACGTCGACAATTCTCCCTCTTACTCTTATTTTTTCCTCCCTTTCAACTCTCTTCTTCCCCGTCTATTGAGCAAGAATCTGCCGCTGACCTCGCTGCTTCTGCCATCGATACTCGTAACTCGTCCATCAAACCACGAGTCTCATTTCACATTGGTTCTTTTAACGTCCGCACTTTGAGTCAGATCGGTCAACAGGCATCACTGACTCTCACTTTTCACTCTCTTGGTGTTGATGTGTGCTGTTTCCGAAACGCATACAAGATAACAGCGTTGTGCCAAATTTTCGAATCCCTATTTCTGAATCTAACGATAATGACTACATTTCGCGTCTCTGGTGATACTGAGTCAGTGGCTCAAGGTATTTACGGTGTTCATATCGCCCTCAGCCGACATGTCGAAGTCAATCTACTCCATTGGATACCGGTGAACAGCTGCATGTTTGTGGTTTGACTTCAAACCTCTTGGTGTTAATAAGCACCGTAGGAAGATGCCTTTTCATCGCATTCGTTTATGCTCCTATTGACTGCAGTTCGGAGGGTATCAGAGATGATTTCTACTACCATCTTTCATCTATTCCCCTGGCGAAAAAGGCTGATTGCTGCTGTTGACTTGAATGCCCAAGTGGGTCATCTTTCAGACTGAACAATGCCAGGGCGGGCGCTTCGGAGTCGATGCACGCCGACTCCTGCAACTGTGCGCCGACCACAATCCTTATAGTAGCAGCACTGCTTTCCATTACCAACCTGCACACTGCGTCACTTGGCACCCACCAAATTTCTCAATGAATTGGACTCAAATGGATCATATTGGCATCAGCTATTGGTGGTGCACATCAATCCAAGATTGTCGGTCAATTTGGAACACATGCTTGGATTCCGACCATGCCCTATTGCGTTCACGCCTGGTGCTCACACTTCCCACTTCAAAGAATCGCCTAACTTATCTGTAACTTGAACTCGCAGTCTGCGGTTTAACAATATCATGACGAATTGGCCCACAAATTGTTAGTGATGATTGAGGTTGGTGAGCCGAATGCTGACTGGGATTGTCTCAAGTGTGTCATGAAGAATGCCTTTGACGCTTGCTGTGCACCCTACTTGAAATGTCCTAACTGTGAATGGATCTCTGAAGCATCGATCAGTTTGATCGAAGCCCGTAACGGGTTCCGCTGGACACTGAGTTTCAGCGTATCCGTAACTCCCTAAAACGACTTCTGACAAGAAGTCTTCGAGTTAACCGGGAACCTAGGTGGATTGCAAGGGCTGGTGCGATAGAGAAGGCAGTGCTATTGGAAACAACTGGGTGCTATACTAGCTCATCTGGAACATGGGTCCTAGAACGCCATCACTTAGCGAGGCAGTAGCTGAGAAAGATGGACTGTTGATCCGTACTCAGCGTCGTCGACTAGCCCGTTGGGCGGAACGTTCTGACAAATACTTCAGCAGGCCTGCTGCGACACTGCTGCTTGCCGAATCACCTGAGTAGAGGTGAGAAGTAGATGTCACACCTCCCACTTTGGAAGAGATTTGCCGTGTTAAACCGAAATTAGGCTCCGGGACCCGACGATCTTCCTCCATCTTTGTTGTAAGAGGGCGGTAAATCTTTGTTGACTGGACTTGCTACTCTTTTTAACACGATTCGGGACACTGGAGAAGTGCGTTTAGACTGGCGACTATCAACTGTTCTGCCCATCTTCAAGAGGGATGAGCGTACTTTTTGCGAACATCGAGACATTAACCTTATTTCCATTGCCTCAAAACTTCTCACGGGTCTCATTCTTCGACGACTTACTGGTCCCTGTGAGAACCGAATCACTAAAAGCGTGGCTGATTTCCGCCCTGGCCTTGGTTGCATCTACCAAATATTTACTCTTCGCCAACTCTTAGAGCAGAGACATGCACACGATTGACTAAGGTGGTTTTTCTTGATTTG